TTCTTTCTTTCTTTCTTTCTTTCTTTCTTTCTTTCTTTCTTTCTTTTTCTTTCTTTCTTTCTTCTCTTTTCTTTCTCTCTCCTTCCTTCCTTCCTTCCTTCCTTCCTTCCTTCCTTCCTTCCTTCCTTCCTTCCTTTCATCGAGGCCTTTGGCTTTCTCGTTTCTTTCAGTTCTTAAATCTGGCCTCCAACATCCTCAACTTCCTCACTTCCTCCATGCTGGACTCAAAGAACAATTTCATTCGCAACTACCTGAGCGTCTCTCTGACGGAGCAGCATATGGCCACCCTGGCCAGCATCATCAAAGAAGTGGACAAGGATGGGCTTAAAGGTCAGGAAGGCGGGAGGGGTTGTTCTGACCTGAGACCATAATTATGCTTATTCCAAACAAGTCTTGTTCTATTTCAACACTGGGAATTATGTTCATTCCCAGCTGGTAATGAGTCCCAAACAGTCCCTCGAGATAAGCACCCCCCTTTCTCTCCTCTGAATTGCTGCCAACAACTAAAGTGCCAAATAAACTGTAGAAAGCCAACCGAAGTACAAAGTCCACACAGAGCTTCAAGGTTGAATCCGAACAGAGCAAACGACTTTGGTCCTGCAAAGGTTTTTCTACCTTTGCACTTCCCTTATACCTTATGGGAGGGCCAATCACCTCCAAACCTGATTCCCAAGTCGCCCCTGTTGTCTTGGCTGCTCTTGCCATCTGGCAGCTCTGCACACACACACCCTGGGAACAGGCTCCCCTTGTTCCTCTGCCTCGCTGCTGCCTAACTCCGAAGGCTCCGGAAGCAGCGCACAACTCCCGGATAGTCCTGGCCCCATCACTGCATCAGGCACAGGACCTCGTCCAAATCCTCCCCAGACTCCCAGGCTGGTCCCCGTTCTTCCCCACTGTCCGATTCCGCTGCCGTCTGCACAGGCTGCCGGCGAACCACCATAGGGGTCTCCCTCGCCCCCAACCTGCAGATTGAGCCCTCAGAGATGTGGGGACTGAGTAACTCGGGAAAATCCACTTGGGGCAAGTCAAGCCCAGCTCTGGGGCCCCCATTCTGGCTCTCCAGCCTAGATAATCGATTCCTGCCACGTTTCCCTGAAAGAGAAATATAAGACCCTGTCTTATAATTTGGGGGGGCTATCGAAAAAAGGCACCAGGTCTTATTTTCAGGGAGGATGTCATCCACTGACTCATCTCACTTGCACGCGCTGCCCTCCTTTTCACTGCCTTCAGGAACTACTTCTGCAGCCGGCAAGGCCAGCAAGCCTTGATCCGGAGCTGTGTTCTCGGCTCCAGAGGCCTTCAGGAAAGCCTTGCCGGCTGCAGAAGAAATGGGCCAAGGTATACGAGGCCTGGCTGCAACTGTAGTAGGGCACCTCCACCCTAGCTTCATTTTAACCCGTGCATTCTGGGGCGGGTGGGGGGGGTCTTAATTAGGGCTTATTCCGGGGGTAGGGCTTATATTGGGCATAAAGGTAAAAGTCAAGCTAGGACTTACTTTCAGAGTAGGTCATATTTTCGGGGGGGGGTATTTAGTGTTGGAAGGCTTTCGAAATCCGACAGGTCATCTAGTCCAGGGGTCTCCAGCCTTGGCAACTTTTAAGACTTGTGGACTTCAATTCTGGGAGTTGAAGTCCACAAGCCTTAAAGTTGCTAACGTTGGAGACAATACCTGTCAGAGCCAGGGTTTTGTCAGGTTAGAGGACAGCTCAATGGCTGAGGCATCTAAGGCAAGTTTCCACCTCCCGGAGTTTGGCAGTTGTGAACTGGATGGAAAACTAAACCCCTGGAGGCCAGTGGTGGTCGGGGAGGTAGCCTCCCTCACTGGGCCTCCTCCTCGCCCTAGAAGGGACACGTGGAAAGATCCTGCCCTGCCCTGGAGTTTTTGGGACGGGGGTGGGGTCAGGAGGCTCCGGCCTCACCTGGTGACGCTGTGCTCCTGCAGGGACCTCCGAAGAGGAAGAGTTTGCGGCTGCGCTGTACCATTTCAACCACTCCTTGGTGACCTCTGACCTCCAGTCTCCAACCTTGCAGGTGAGTCTGGCTTTCTGGCCAGGGAGGAGCTGCTGGTTCAACGGCAAATTGTTAGGAGCAATAATGAGGAAATGTCCCATCGCGTTCTCATGTCGAGAACAAGCTTCTCCGTGTCTGTGTTCAAAGGCAGGTGTGTCTGGGCATTTCCCTGTATTTGAACTGGGCCAGCAATCCAGCATTAAGTCTTGTGTCGTTAAGCCAGGGGTCCCTGGTGCTCTCGGTAGTTTTCTGGCTGACGTTTCGTGACCCAAACTAGGTAACGTCATCAGTGTTAGAAGGAAGTGGGGTTTGCACAGAGGAGGATGGGGAGAAGGAGGAGGAGGAGGAGGACTGTGGAGTCCTTGGTGCCCTCTGAACTTGGCGGTTTTCTGGCAGACATTTCATGACCCAAACCAGGCATCAAGTGCTAGAAAAGACAATCTATAAATAGCAAATTGCATTCTTTCTTAACACTGATGATGTTACCTAGTTGAGTCATGAAACGTCTGCAAGGAAACGGACCAAGCTCAGAGGGCACCAAGAACCCCTCATTTCGACCCATTTCAGTATCCTCCCTTATGGTAGTTGAACAAGGGTGTGGTGCGGTGGCCTAGAGGTGGAGCTCTCGCCTCACAATCAGGAGGCTGTGAGTTCGATCCTAGGTAGAGAGGCAGATATTTCTCCCGGCACATATATATTCTATATCCGCTGAACAAAACTCCTCACTGGAGACAGGAAGGGCATCCGGCCATTAAAAAACGCTGCTAGCTCCATTCAGTTGCCCAGACTCCACCCTGCAAGAGTGATGATGATGATTGTAGTTAAATAAGGTTCAAATAGTTATAGGCGGCTGCCCTTTTTATTTTTTTAAAAAAAGAAGTGTATCGCTTGCAACTGACAGAGCTGCTCCCCTTCAACACACGCGGTGGTTGTCTTTTGCCAGAACATTCTCCTGCAGCAGCTGGGGGTGTCTCCTTTTTCCGAAGGGCCGTGGCCTCTCTACATCCACCCCCAGAGCTTGTCGGTGCTCTCCCGTTTCCTCCTCATCTGGCAGCATAAAGCCAGCACCCAGATGGACCCGGATGTCCCAGAGTGTCTGAATGTCTGGGAGAGGTAGGAGAGAGTCCTGGGGAGGCGCTGGAGTCGCGGCTTTAGCCCGGTGCACCAAGTTCAGAAGGTTTTCAGTCCAGTGGCGATGTGTAATGGTTGCACCGTTATATGTAAAATGGTATCCCCATTGCCCAGATGGGTACACGAAGGTGTGAGGGCTGCCTTTTACTGAATGTTTCTTTCCTTCCTTCCTTCCTTCCTTCCTTCCTTCCTTCCTTCCTTCCTTCCTTCCTTCCTTCTTTTCCTCCCTCCCTCCCTCCCCCTCATTCCTCCCTTCTTCCCTCCCTCCTCCCTTCTTCTCATTTCTTCCTTTCTCTCTCCCCTTCTTTTCCTTCCTTCTTCTCACTCCTCCTTCCTTCTCCCTTTTTTCATTCCTTCCTCCCTCCCCCCTTCTTCTCATTTCTTCCTTTCTCTCTCCCCTTCTTTTCCTTCCTTCCTTCTCACTCCTCCCTCCTTCTCCCTTTTTTCATTCCTTCCTCCCTCTCCCCTTTGCTCCTTCTTTCCTCCCTCCCTCCCTCCCTGAATTTCTCTGTCTCCTCCCTCCCTACTGCTTCTTCTCATTCCTCCCTCCCTCTCCTTTTTCTCATTTCTTCCTTTCTCCCTCTCTCTCCTTCCTTCCTTCCTTCCTTCCTTCCTTCTTTTCTCCTTCCCTCCCTCCCTCCCTCCCTCCCAGGTTTGTGGGCACTCTGAAGCAAAACGCCCTGCAGGGGATTCTCCCCGGCGACGCAGAGGACCTGAACGTGGAGCACCTCCAGCTCCTGCTGCTCATATTCCACAGCTTCTCCGAAAAAGGCCGGCGGACCATCCTGACCCTCTGTGTCCAGACCATCCTGGACATTACAGCCAACCTGGACTCCCAGCTCCGATGCGTCCCGCTCCTGCTAGCCCGCCTTCTCTTGGTCTTCGACTACCTGCTTCACCAATACTCAAAGGCCCCCATGTATTTGTTTGAGCAGGTGGGTTGCAAAGGCAGGCGAGGAGGGGGAGGCGCCTGACTCAGGCATCGGCTTGTCAGTCAAAGATTTTCTTTTGGGGGGGGGGGGGGGGGGGGGGTGTCAGTCCATCCTTTGAATGCTCTCTTAGGTGCCTAGAGACGTCTTGAGCAGCGAAATAATCCCCGCAGGCCCCGAAGATCGGACTGAAAAATGTGGTTTATTGGCTTGTCCCTGTTTTACTTTTATGCTCGGCTGTGCCTCCCTCCTTTCAGACCCAAATCCTATGAAGAAAACAGGTCCCAAAGCGAGCCAATGTTACAAAAACTGTCTTGCTTTTCTTTCTCTCTCTCCCTCTCTTGTTCTCTTTCCCTCTCTCTTTCTCTTCCTCCCCCCTCCCTCTCTTTCTCTTTTTCTTACTCTTTCTCTTTCTCTCTTTCTTTCCCTCCCTTTCTCTTTTTCTCTTTCTTTTCCTCTCTCTTTCTCCCTCTCTTTCCCTTTCCCTTTCTCTCCCTCCCTCTCTCTTTTTCTTTCTCTCTTTCTCTCTTTCTTTCCCTCCCTTTCTCTCTCTCTCTCTCTCTTTCCCTCTCTCTTTCTTCCTCTCTTTCTTTTCCTCTCTCTTTCTCCCTCTCTTTCCCTTTCTCTTTCTCTCTTTCTCATTTTCTTTCTCTCTTTCTTTCCCTCCCTTTCTCTTTCTCTCTCTCTCTTTCTTTTCCTCTCTCTTTCTCTCTCCATCACTCACCCCCCCCTCCTTCCCTCTCTCCCTCTCT